ATTCTTTTAGTTATAATAACATTATGTGATTTTAAAATACATTCTCAGAAAGTATGAATTGCTTATGGATTCTCTCTGAAGAGTACGATCGAAGGTTTGAAATGAATGACCAATACATTTTTTTTCATTTAAGTTTAGTATTTTTAGAATTGATATCCAAACTTTCTTGTAAAAATTTAATTATTCCAAAGTTCGATACATGCCTATATGAAGATATAATCCTTTCACATACTAAAGTATGAGAAGACGTGTCAATCAAACGTGTCCCAAAATTAGTGGTTTTAGGATTTTCCGGATAAAAGAGGTTTTTAAATATATATATAGTTCAGTGTAAAAAAGCATGAATCGTGATATTATTTAGAAAATTTCAGAAAAAAGTATTTTCTTCAAATCTGAGTCCTAGCCCGGCCCTTTAACCCTATACTGTTGTAAATGCATGTTCACTGCAAGTCCTCTCCCTTATCCATACTTTTTCTTTTAGTATAGTCATGTCTTCTCCAAATAAATGGTTTTTCAGAAATAATCAAAAAGTTTAAACCTTTCCTCCCCATCTACAACATACGATTTAGGAGTTTGAAAACTACCCTTTTTCCTGTTCCATATCTTATTACCATTCCCCCCAAAAATAAAAAAAAAAATTCTGTCTTTTATAGAAAAATGTAACATTCCACTGTTTATTCTTTGACACAAATGGAGCCAAAGAGATGACATTTCAGGCTTTCTAGAAAGCCAAACTTGTGTATGTATTCGTTTTGTCTAGTAATAAACAGTAGTTTTGGTTATCGTTCATGGCTGTAGTTCTTGCCAACGTGCCTGGGGATTTTATATGCACATTGCATTAGTAACCCACTAAGTGAAACATGGTGTCAGATGCGGGATTATAGAAGAGGATTACAGGATTGAGCAGAACTGTTTTTCTCGCCATATCTTGAGTATATTATGCATATTTCGATTTGGCGCGCTGCATCGTGATTACGAAGCCCGGTCGGGAAATGGCGCTCGAACGATTGACACCCCCTGGTAAAATAAAGTTCAACACTAAGAATATTAGTGAAGACTGGAGAAAATGGAGAGAAGAATTTGAACTCTATGCATCTCTATCGGTGAAGGATGCAGAAGACAAAGCTAAGTTACAATTACTGAAATATTTGATCGGCGCTGATGGCAGAGAGATTTACAGCACATTGAAATTTGAAAAAGAAGAAAAGGACAGAAAATTAAAAGACGTCCTCGAAGCTTTTGACGCTTACTGTAGACCCAAAAGAAACGAAACAGTAGAGAGATTCAGGTTCAATATTAGGAAACAGGAACAAGGTGAGACGATAGAAACTTTTATTACTGATCTAAAAACATTAGCTGCAAAGTGTAACTATGAAGAAATAGTTGATTCACTAGTGAGAGACAGAATAGTTTGCGGGATACTTGACTCACACCTGAGAGAACGTTTGTTAAGAACACAATGACTTACCCTGGATAAGTGTGTCGACATAACGCGTGCAGCAGAAATCACAAAACAAGGAATTAGTGTATTGGACGGCAACAACAATTCGTTAAGCAGCCATACAGAAAATGTCAACAAAATCGGCAAAGGTAAACCCAGTGCAAAGACAAGTGGAAGTAAACATTCACACACAGATAACAACAAACCTTGTAAATATTGTGCCAAAGAACATGAGCGCAAGAAAGAAAACTGTCCGGCATATGGAAAGACGTGTCGACTGTGCCATAAAATGAATCACTTCGAAACAGTATGCAGAAGTGCTACCAAGAAATCACAACCAAAGTACAAGAAGAAAACTGTACATCACATTGGGACAGGTTGTTCAGTCACTGACAGTGATGATGACTATTCAGTTTGGACCATTCAAGAAGAAAACACACATTCTGCACACTCAGTTTCCAACAGTGCACATGCGTCTATGATAATTCATGGAAAGAAAGTGACATTTCAACTAGACAGTGGGGCCACATGTAACATTTTACCACATAGTGTGATTCCAAACATGCCGCCACTTCAGCCTACAAATTACACCTTGAAGTTGTACAACAAATCTACCATAAGGCCTCTAGGAAAAGTACACTTGCAAGTTACCAATCCAAGGAATGGTACCTCATATGACACTGAATTTGTTGTGATCAAGGAGGACTGCATGCCACTCTTAGGAAATAAAACTCTACAGCACATGGAGCTCTTGAACTGGAGAAAGGAGAACATTCTAAGTGTGAGACAGCTGTTACCATCACCTCTCAGCAAGAAGCAGCTCTTCGCAGAGTATCCAGATGTCTTTGAAGGACTAGGTCGTCTCGCAGGAAAATATCACCTAGTTCTAGATGAAAACATACAGCCTGTAGTTCATCCACCAAGGAAAGTGCCTATCGCACTGAAGCCATTGTTAAAAGCAGAACTTGACAGACTTCAGGAAATGAAGATTATTACACCAGTAAGTGAACCAACACCATGGGTCTCCAGCTGTTTGATGGTCGTGAAACCAAACAAAGTCAGAATCTGCATAGATCCGAAGGACTTAAACAAAGCACTTAAGAGGAGCCATTATCCACTTCGTACGATAGAGGAAATACTTCCAAACCTTTCTCGTGCAAAAGTATTTAGTGTTCTGGATGCACGTAATGGATTTTGGCATGTTGAATTAGATAAGGAAAGCTCTATGCTTACTACATTCAACACCCCATTTGGACGATTCAGATGGTTAAGGATGCCCTTCGGTATCTCGACTGCACCGGAAGAGTATCAACGTCGTCAAGATCAGGCGGTAGAAGGACTACCAGGTGTCTTGAGTATTGCTGACGACATATCGGTTATGGTGAATGCGACACAGAAGAGGATGCCATTGTAGACCATGACCAGAAACTGAAAGCACTCATGAAGAGATGTCGTGAACGAGGACTTGTGCTCAACAAGGACAAACTAAGACTTCGTGAGATGGAAGTGAGATTTGTAGGACATCTCATAACAAAGGACGGTTTGAAGCCCTACCCTGAGAAAGTCAAAGCGGTGAACGAATTGCCGAATCCAACAGATGTCGCAGGAGTGAGACGCTTCCTGGGATTCGTTAACTACCTAAGCAAGAATCTACCGAGTTTGAGTGACATTTGTGAGCCGCTACGAAAGCTTACAGTAAAAGACACATTGTGGAGCTGGCACGAGATTCATGACTTAGCAGTAGAGAAAGTCAAAAGAATGGTGACGTCAGAACCAATTCTTAGCTACTATGATCCAAATAAGGAACTTACTTTACAATGTGATTCTTCGGAGACAGGATTGGGTGCAGAACTGCTACAACTTGGGAAACCGATAGCGTACGCCAGCAGAGCCCTTACAGACACAGAGACGAGATATGCCGAAATAGAAAAGGAACTTCTCGCTGTTGTGTTTGGATTAGAAAAGTTTCATCAGTATACGTACGGACGAAACGTTACAGTCCAAAGTGATCACAAATCCTTAGAGATCATAATGAAGAAGCCACTTCATACAGCACCGAAACGCTTACAGAGGATGCTTCTTCGACTGCAGAAATACTCAACAAAGCTAGAGTATCATCCCGGCAAGGAAATGCACTTAGCCGATACGCTTAGTAGAGCATACTTACAGAACAGTGATCGTACAGGTGCACTCCTAGATGAAATAGTTCATTTCACACATCTACAGCCGACGGTAGGAGATAGTCTTCAAGAAATTAGGGACGAAACTCGACGAGATAACACATTACAGGAACTCATTCATGTAATACTTACCGGATGGCATAAAATGGTATCTGAGGTCAAGGACATAGTGCGGCCATATTTCAATTTTCGAGATGAGCTAGTCGTACAGGATGGAGTTATCTTCCGTGGAGACAGAATTGTGATACCCATCAGCATGAGACAGGACATGTTATGCAAGATTCACAAGTCTCACATAGGAGTAGAAGGAAGTCTACGTCGTGCGCGTGAGAACTTATTCTGGCCAGGCATGAATGCCGAGACCAAAGATTTCATCAGCCGATGTGACATATGCAGATCGTTAGATGACAAACAGTGCAAAGAAACACTTAAGTCACATGAAGTGCCAGATAAACCTTGGGGAAAGATTGCTTGTGACATTTTTACATTTGATGGCCAAGATTATCTGGTGACCGTTGATTATTTTTCGAATTTCTGGGAAGTTGACCACCTCTCCCGTTCAACATCGAAAACCGTAATCAAGAAACTCAGAGCTCATTTTGCGAGATACGGGATACCTTACTCTCTTGTCAGTGACAATGGACCGCAGTTTAGTTCAGATGAGTTTGCTGAATTTGCTCACCTGTGGGAATTTAAACACATTGCGAGTTCTCCAAAATACCCTCAGAGCAGAGCAGGCCGTGAAAATGGCAAAGAGATTGATGAAGCGCGCAGTGAAGTCTAATTCAGACCTTTATCTAGCCTTACTGGACTTTCGGAATACACCTACACAAGGCATGGGAACAAGTCCAGCACAACGTCTCATGAATAGGAGAACGAAAACATTATTGCCTACTAAACAGTCGTTACTAGAGCCGGAAGTTCCAGATCTGAAGGAGCAGGGAAGGACGCTTGTGAGACTGAAAGAACGACAAGCACATTACTACAATCGTGGGGCCAAGGATCTGAAACCATTGAAGATTCAAGACCTTGTGCGCATTGCACCACCTGATGGAATCGGACAGTCAAAAGAATGGAAGAAAGGGGTAGTGAACAAAGTTTTACCAAATCGCTCTTATGAGGTCCAGTCTGCTGGTCAACACTACCGCAGGAATAGACGACATCTAAGACCCAGCAAACATCAGGAACAGTCGGAAAGTGATGATTTAGCCCTTGAGGATTACCGAGAGATACGTGTCGAACAAGAGAAGCCAATTCAAATGTCTGATTCGAAACAAATGATCGAGTCCGCAAAAGAGCAGGATACATTAGAGGCACCGCAGTGTGCTTGCTCATCCATTGTAGTTCATGAGATAATGAACACTACTCTTTGCAAGAAATATTACGGGAATATGATTATATTGAAATGTAAATATTTCTGTGTGAAATTTATTTGGGAGTCAAAGGTCATAGCGCGAGATGATATTTTGTCTACATATTTTTATCACGGTGCAACTTTTTTTGGAACATTTCCAAGTTAATAACAATGAAAAAGATAAAATGATGAACAAAATGGATATTCTCAATCATGAGATGTTCAAAACATTTTCTTTTGATATGAATAATGTTTTGAATACTATAATTAGCCTAAATCAGCATTTAACTTTTTGACCCTAAATTCCTTTGGATCGAGCTATGTAAACTAAGACAGGCGATGCCAACGCTTTTGACTTCAAATATTTTATGAAATAGTTATGATAGATTATTCTCAGCGACGATCATGATTGTTTTTTCAGTATACACTGTATACAGATATTTGCTGAAGTGGAATGCTTAACATGAATGTAAACATTGAAGTACTGGAGCGAGGTGAACTTTCCAGACTTGTAGATCATTGCGAGTCACAACATAGCAATACAGCGATCCTTTCGTGTAATAAATGCAGTTTTACTCGAAATTTATTCGTCTTAAATGTAAATGATGGAAATGGAGATAACGAACAGTATTTAATCTCAAAGTCCATAAAACAATACAAAATTAGAGCAGAGCAAACACAGACCGCCAAAACATCAGAGGTGGGATAAGGTGCCATTGAGGAGTGAGCATCCCCTGTCGACCGGGCACACTCGCCGTGTGCTCCTTGTCATTATCAGGAAATAACGGAAATATCCGTCGTCAATTCGGTGTTTTGCTGAAAGGTCATTGTATCGACCATAGAACTTACGAAACGATGACTTTAAACGAGACTGCTAATATTCTTGTTCATCAACTTGCTTGTCAATAATTTACTACGTTTTAGAAATTGTAGAGCATGCTCTTGCGTATCGAATTCATAGAGATATATAGATATGTATATACTCTGTATACAAGTGATGAAGATATATTGCGGCATGTAAGGTTGATTGATTGATTGTATACTGTTTAACGTCCCTCTCCAGAATATTTCACTGATATGGAGACGTCACCATTGCCGGTGAAGGGCTGCAAATTTAGGCCTATGCTCGGCACTCAGGGCCATTGAGCAGGGAGGGATCTTTATCATGCCACACCTGCTGTGACACGGGGCCTCGGTTTATACGGTCTCATCCGAAGGACCGCCCCATTTACTCGCCTTTTACAACAAGCAAGGGGGTACTGAGGATCTATTCTAACCCGGATCCCCACGGGGCCGGCATGTAAGGGAAGTTGACGATAGAAAAGTTAAAGTCTTCACGTTAATCATATAGCTTGGTTGTTAGATTACCATTAAGATCCTTTTCAAGTAAAATATCGAAGTATGAAACTGATGTGTCGGACTCTGTGGTATCTTAAGCTCACCAGGATTTATCGTATTAATTGACAATACGTTGATCTAAATGTCGAGTTGAAGGCCACAGCAAGTGCCTTCTTCTTTTCAAGTATATAAAAAAACTTTTGAATATGTTATCCTAAGAGTAACATATATTATTTAATTTTTTTATATAGGTAACATGAATACGACTTTTTGTACAGTTTACTTTTTTTGATGTCATAAACCTTTTTTTTTTTACAGTTGTCATAAAATTTCGAAAGGTTTCCACCAGGCTAGAACTCACAGAACCGTCGTCTGCTCTCCGAACAGGAGCCGCAGAGAGCATGGTGCACTGTTGTTTGATTTGTACAACAGAGAACAAGTGCATTTCTGTATTATACGATAAAAAGAATAGGACATGTCAGCTTTTTAATTTTCTTCTCAACTGGGATCAACTTGGAGACGAAAAAGGAACTGAATATCTTATCATGGACAATGCAGCAAGCAACAGAAGACGTAAGTATATTTGTTTTAGGAAGGATCGTTGTTTGTACAAGTAGAAATTCCCATAACTACAGTCAGCTTAACTACTGCTTGTGTACTTAAATTGACAATTCAACTTAACTGCTGTATGCTTTTATAAATTAACATATTCAAAATTTACCACGATCACTGGGTATTGCTAATGGCGTAATAATGAATTGAACATGTCAAGTTAAAGTGACTTTGGACCATCTCAGAAAACGGTGACCCCTCCTCGAAAACACGGATCTATATGATATTGGTATGAAGAGTTATTAGTATGCAGCTTTGAAAGCCACTCCATCCTGTGGCTTAGGTTTTTCACGTTTTGGAAAGGAGTTGAGGTTTTTCTTCTTTTTTTGCTTGGGTTGTTTTTTTTTTACTATAAATGGATCCTCCCCCACCCTCGCCAAATAAAATTCTGGATCTGCGCCTGAGAAGGGTGTCCCATTTAATTAAGGTCAAGATCTAGTAAATGACTTTAGTCTAATTTTTTCTGCTAGATCCGTAATGACGTCATAATCAATTTCACCTTGCTTTTTCCAGTTCTTGACAGTTTTGGTAGAAATATTTTGAAGATAGTATATTTTCATTACATTCATTTTGAAATAATGTAAAAAGTAATCCCAATTGCTGTATCAAATTTGTTATAACTTTAAAGAAGAGGTCAAGAACAAAAAAATTACCGTTTACTGAGAGACTGTAGGCAATCTGAATGTATTTCTCTTGTCGAATATGAATAAAAAACATATATATTCTTTCCTTGCTTTCTTAATATTTCATTAAAAAAAGACAGTTTAAAATATGTTTTTTTTCATCTTATTTACCCACAATTTTTACCCAAAACATCTTATTTGACTAAGCTAAATTTATTTAGCATCATTAAAGGAATTTATTTCTCAAATTTGATACATCTGTAAGCACCTTTCATTTACTTGATCTTGACCTTAACCATGCCTTAGAGAAAACAGGCGTTAAATGTGCCATCAGTCTATTTAAAAACAAAATTTTAGATAAATAAATAAGACTTTGAAGAAAAGGAAGCATTAGTAAACAAAACTTTTTCATCGCTATTATTAGTTAGATCTAAGCCATTGTGAGATAATTTTATTCTTAAAGCACATTAACACAATCAAATGAAGATTGTACAATGCCAGGTATGTTATCGGAAATGATTTTCATCAGAGTCTTTGGGGCATCCCTGAAGATACTAGTAAGTATGCTGATGTTTTCTGTTCATGAATAAAAAGATCTATGGCATGTGTAAATGGTGACAGTGAATGTCTTAATAAGTTGAAACAGTTACTATTGAAAATATGTATTACGTACTTTTTTTATTTTTAGATGACATATTGCATTATTTATTGAACGACCCTCGTACAAATGATTCATTATCTGAGCGGTATTATCAAAAATCACTTCGAAGACGAATTTGACACTACTTTTAAAATGTTTTCTTTTTCTTGTATTTCTTAATTTTTTTTTAATGTAAAGCTTTCAAGTTTTAAAATTCAAAACACAAATTTTCAAATTTTCTTTAAAGCCGCTTAGTCCGATTCTATTCGCTAAATAATATATTCGTTTTTCTTCGTGAAAAAGAATTGTCCATAAATTGTTTCAACTTTTGTCAAAGAACTAAAGTACGGTATTAGAAGTAATTTTCCGAAATAATACGATATTTTAATCTTCTTTACATCGTTTGTTGATGTTATGCATTGAAGTAAGGAAGACAAGAACTAAATTCTACAGGAACAAAAATGACGTAATTTTTAACTATGACGTCACTACTACGCGCTTAACATTGAATGGTTGTGTAATTTAATCGTTAAATTATGTTGAAAAATGAGTAATCTTTGCTAAAATTAGACCCTTTCACAAGCAACAACCACTTTTGTTTTTCGCATATAAGTTCATCATTACATATCTTAGTTACACTATTAAAATAATGTTGGTTGTCACCTGTGATCAATATGAATTTTACAAAAGTTAGCATACGAATAAAGATATTCTACCGACGCAATGCTCCTGATTCGATACTAATCACGCTTAATTTACACAGAATGAGATTTTTTTCAAGTCCCATCACTGGACATAGTAAACTATATATATATACCTATAAATATAAATAACATATTTTGAAAACATAGAATAAAGTTTAGTTAAAGATGCCGCTTTTGCTTATGCTTTTTGTACATCGTATGCACTTGTAAGTTAGTATACTATAGTGTCCGTCGGCTGTACATTTATTATTGAATAACATTACTAAAATATCCTGTAGGCCTCAATTCATGCCATAAAAAAGCACAATAATATATATTGTTTTAAATATGTACATTGTACTTGCGAATGTGTCGCTACATAAGTTTTCTTCTTAGATTTAATGTGCCCCGAATCTCAAGGCCCCTCGAGCACCATGATGCGAATTATAACGCCCAAATACTAAGCTAACTGAAAAAATCTTTTATATCAAAATATCAAATTTATACCCACTCATCGATATAGCTAGTATCAAATACAAAGGGTTATGTTAATGATTATCTTTATCTCATGTGGTAATTTATAAATGAATTCTACAGAAAAAAAAGGAATACAAAAACAGGTCTAAATTTACTTTTTTCCTTCTTTTCTTCATTCTAAATGGTTGATTTTATTTCCTTTACCGTAAAGCATGTCATAACAATGGTTAAATATACATAGATTGGAAAAGCACTCAGTTAGCCAAACCTGTACATGTATCATTATGATATTAACCCATTCTTCGTCTGTTTATGCAGCGTTAAATTTATTTTATTTGGAATCTAAATTGTGTGCAATTAACTGAAACAAAAATATATCTTTTTAAATTTCGAAGAAAAAGTACCTTCAATTTTTATCTCTTTTAAAATCATTTCTGGGAATTTGCAAGAGTACTTCCTTTTGTAATATTAATCTTAATTAGTCGCAAGAGGAATACGGTTTTTCCTCAATAAATTAGGTCTATATATACAACACACACACAAAAAAAAAAAATCCACACATTTGGGACTGTTTTATCAATTTTTTTATGTTTCTGCATTAACCAATGAGCACTCAAAATGCACGATTAAAAATTAAATTTGATTTAAAAACAGCTTTCTTCCTGCTTATCCATGAAAGCAAAAATGATGCTATGTCACCGCAACGCTCTCAGAAACGGAAATATCTATTTATGGGGGGGGGGGGGGAGGGGGTTGTTTCCCAGGTATCGGGGATTACAGGTTGTTGGTATCTTTTGTTTGTTTGTTTGTTTTTTGCTTACTTTATTAACATTAATTCGGTGTGTTCCCATTTCGCCTTAATTGTGAAATTCAGGTAAGAAAAAGTTAAAAAGATTGCGAAAGGTTGTTGGGTTAATATAAAAATTTTGATAATTTTTTTGAATTTAACAATTTGTTTGTTTGTTTTTTGTAATACCCAAAAATACTTTACTTTATTAACATTAATTTCTGTGGAAAATGACTAAAATTACTTTTCATGGACCAATGCATTGATTTTACATGTTCCGTATATCCTTTTCATACAGGGAATACCTGTATTGTATTGTAAATAAGCCTATTAGATTCTTTTTGTTTATTGTGAGAATCATACATATAACATGTTCAATTGTCAGAAAAGTAAAGACACAAGGAAGTTTTGATTTTTATTATTTTTAAAAGGCTACAATTCTCTACCAAGCAAGGAAATTTTGCGAGAAATGAAAAAAAAGGAAAGTGATACTAGCAACTTAAACATTTTGATCCTAATATTAATAGGCAAAAGCTTGAAATAAAAACATTTGGAATAAAATTTGTCATCGGCTTCTGGAAGGTGAGAATTCTGAAAAATAATCCACGAGCGATTATACTTATCCGACATTACTGTCAACATGTATTGAATATGTAGACATATATAAAAATGACTCCTATACCTATGTAAGTATTTACACGGACTTAAATAAAAATGTAGAAAGCCTTTCAAGTGAGAAACAAGTAGAGTACTCAGCTGAATACTAAAACAATTATAATTTCCGAAAATTAAGGTTTTTAGAACTTTTTAATCGAATTGAAAGAATACCTGTTATGTTATTCAGTCTTAACTGAAAGTTCGATTTATAACACCCCCCCCCCCCCCCCGCAACAAAACTTTTGAATCAAAGCATTTAATAATAGTTCATTTTCAGTCTTATCAAATATTATTTTACATGTCTTATTAAAACAAAAATATTTGTGGAAGGCATATATAAATGATAAGAACTCATTAAACTCAAAGGGGGTGGGGGGTTTTTACATTTAAATCTTAAGTATTCCTCTGTCATCAAGCAGGATATAAATGAATATATCACAGAAAACAATCAGTTTTCATGTACCCATTATCTGTTTTTAGCTCACCTGAGCCGAAGGCTCAAGTGAGCTTTTCTGATCAAAATTTGTCCGTCGTCTGTCGTCGTCGGCGTCGTAAACTTTTCACATTTTCATCTTCTTCTCAAGAACCACTGGGCCAATTTCAATCAAACTTGCCACAAAGTATCCTTAGGTAAAGGGGATTCAACTTTGTTCAAAGGAAAGGCAACGCCCTCTTTCAAGGGGAGATAATGATGAATTAGTGAAAAATTAATGGCATTTAAAAAAAATCTTCTTCTCAAGAACCACTTGGCCAGGAAAGATGAAACTCATATGGAAGCATCCTCAGGTAGTGTAGATTCAAGTTTGTTCAAATCATGACCCCCGGGGGTAGGTTGGGGCCACCATGGCCGACCAAAGTTTTACATAGGAGTATATAGGGAAAATCTTTAATAATCTTCTTCTCAAGAACCACTGGGTCAGGAAAGATGAAACTCATGTGGAAGCATCCTCAGGTAGTGTAGATTCAAGTTTGTTGAAATAATGACCCCCGGGGGTAGGGTAAAACCAAAGTTTTACATAGGAGTATATAGGGAAAATCCTTTATAATTTTCTTCTCAAGAACCACTGGGTCAGGTAGTGAAACTCAAATTCAAGTTTGTTCAAATTATGACCCCGGGGGTAGGATGGGGCCAAAATGGCTGATCAACGTTTTACATAGGACTTGATAGGGAAATCTTTAAAGATCGTCTTCTCAAGTACTTCAAAGCCATGATTAGTGATATTTATATGGAATCATTCTAAGGTGGTGTTGATTCTAGTTTGTTCAAATTATGACCCCCAGGGGTAGGATTGGGTCACAATACAATAAGTTTTACATTAAATGTATTTTAAAAAATCTTCTTCTCAAGAATAGCAAAGCCATGATTAGTGATTCTAGTATTCATATGGTAGCATTTACGGATAGTGTAGAATTAAGTTTGTTCAAATCCTGATTTAAATTTATTCAAATCATGGCCATTTGGGGTAGGGAGGAAAACAATGGGGAATCAAATTCAATTTTTTATGAAGTTATATATAGGAAGAAAATGTGTTTTAAATACTTTTTTATTACGAACAGCAAAGTCATATGCTGTATAAATATGAAAGCATTCTCAAGTAGTATTAAATTCAACACCCCCCCCCTTCTGATTTGTGCTTTTTCCTAGCCGATATGCTCAGGTGAGCGATGTGGCCCCTGGGCCTCTTGTTGAAATCGGGATCGAAATCACTCGCATTCCTATTTATATGATTTAATGTCTTTATAAGTTTATTAGCAAAATTGACCATTAGAGGGGGATTTCTACTGTACATTAAATATAACCATAGTCTTCTATAGTACTGTTCCAATAATTATATAATATAAATAATATCTTGACATTCGGGTTTTTTGTTCTTGCACCTTACATACCATACTCTTGAGAATTGAGATTTTTGGTGCCGGGGATACATCGATTTTTTTTCTCATCAGTACATTTTTTTCACTAGATCTGAATTTTTTTTTTTTATTTATTTCAGAGAAATAGCTATTTATTCTATTTAAACCGTATAATTACTGCAATAAAATGAAATCAAATGTCAAAGAGAAAACACGGTTTATTTCTTATTCTCCTCGTTCCTCTGTTGGACTTTTAACAATTCTCATCAACAAAAGCGGAGACACCGAGGATGATTACATAGTAAGTAATAATGATAATAAATAAATTAAAAAAAAAAAGCAAAAGCAAAACAACGATGACGTATTAAGGTCTTCAATCAATAATAGGAACAATTTCAATGAAATTGAAAACATAACAGATCTGTAGGCATTGAATACTCAGTTTATTTAAATTTACTTCCCATTTATTACTATAAGTTTGTATAGTGGGATGTGTCCTAATTCATGACCTTGACTTTTGGTAAGAATTATCTCCCCTCTTTATAATTAATAAAAATAATCAATTAAAACAATTTTAGACGGTAAAATTTTTTTTTCAATTGTCATTCTATTTTTAATGTTTCAAAGCATCTTTCCACCGCAGGATTTATTGATATTCAAATTATTTGAATTTTTATTTTGAAAAAAAAAACGCTTTTTCCCATAGACTTCAATGCAATCTTTGTTAATTAACCACTGCTTAATTAATGAAATTTTTGAAAATTTCTCGTGGGCAATCCTTTTCCATTATAAAATGCTTTAATATAATATCAAAGCAGTATGTACCTGTCGGACATTTAGGGGTAGGGAATTTGGTCCCATTAGGGATGGAAATCCTTAATAAATCAATAACTTAATTTCTTAAATAAATATATTTAATATATTTACTGTGTCCTAGCGAGTCAGTTAGAATTTTCAGATTACGCTTACTACTATATATATCATTTAATTCTAAAAATTCTAAGTTCTTTAAAATGTTTTGAACAGATCAGATCTGACAACCGGCATTTTTTGGCCAATACCGTAGTTTGTTCTTAGATAATGAAATATACATGTGTGGAGATAACGAACAGTAATCAGACTCAAAGGTCCATTAATTACGAAGAATGTTCAATAAATAATGTCCTCTATGACTAATAACTCCATGACAACATAGATATCATATGACATTAAGCTTGAATTTCTCTCATTACTTATCTTTAATGAATTTGTAACAGTTTATGTGACCACTTTTCATTACATAGTTTTATTGTGAAAAGCTAGAGAACAAGGGCTATTCAAGACACTGCATTAAAAATGGTAAAGAATCATCCCAGAGAAATAATCATGAAATACGTAAAAAAAATTACAGCATTTCAATATCTGTTTTATAGACACATGAGCAGGTGGATTTAAATAAACAAAAATGATATAATGAGCAGCAAAAATTGGTACCGTCCTTGGGGACAAGAAATTGTAACAACCAATAAACTGTTTGCCAAAATTCAACAAACAATCACTGATTATGTCTGATTGACTTGAAGACACATAGCAAATTTGATAGACATCATTTTGGGAGTAGTTTACACTGTTTTAAGGAAACATTTGACAGTAAAAACCCTAAAGTATTCAAAAGTCACCCTATGTTTTGAAAAAATAAATGAAATGAACAGCGTGAGAGAACATCTAAACAATTATTTCAAAACATAAGAAATTGTAGTAATTTACGTTTGTCTAAAATTCAAACAGATAATGAAACTCGAATCTATTGCTTAAAACCCTAAAAACAAAATATACAATATGACATACTTGACAAAAACAGAAAAGGTCGAGAAGAGCAAAGAATTGCAGGAGCACAAAGACAGATTTATATGCAATTTTCTTAAATATTAGTGGTCTTGTTATTCAAATTCGTATTCCTGAGTGCAGTTTAAATTCTGAAAGAGTCTAGAAAGAAAAATTTTGCAAAAAACTGAAAGATTTATGAGAGGAAGAAACCAAAATCAGAAATCCACTACATTAAATTTCTTCAAAAATGACAGGAATATCTTATGAAGTACAATTACGAAATCTTTGATGTTACTTTTGAATCAGCAATTTATATTAATGCATCGATTCCGAAGTTAAGTGTTGTGGTCATCAAAAATACTTTGGTTTGATACATTTTGCAAATCTGGCTTTTTTTCCTGTTCAACATAGATAATGAAGGGTTATACACGTCAGATTCAATAATGATAATGAACATGATGAGGATGATAATAATAATCATCATCATCATTATCATCAATTAATCAACACCAATATCATCATCACCAGCATCATCATTAAAATTGTCATCAATCACCAGCATCATTAACATCACTATCAATCAACATCATCATCACTAAAATCATCATCACTAACATCATCAGCATCATCATCACTAAAATCATCATCAGCATCATCATCATCAAAATAACAATACTTATGATATGAATTATTATCTTTGTTATCATAAAATGTTGTTTAAAAAATAATTAATTGTATTTAATGAAGTACCCCGGTCTTGTTCCGACATCGCTGGATGCTCTGGAATAACTAAGGATGGTGAATACTGGTTGTATCCTGTAGCAACGAATGGGACGAGAGTGAAGATTTATTGTCATGACATGCAAACAGATCCGAAGGAGTATGTCACTATGAAGAATGAAAACTGCTTCATTCAACACGACCCTTCCAACTGGTTAAGTAAAAACGAACGCTGTACAACAACATATACGCCTCCACTAAAGAAAGCAGTTTTTTCGAAAGTGGCCATTAACATACAGGTAACACTACATACGGAGTTATTTTGCAATTGCAATCAATTTTTGTCCGTTTTATAGTATTACTTAGTTAGGTATTATAGTAGAGACATAAGGGTTCTTGGTCAGTTTCAAACTAACCTCGAAAACTATAGTTATATAATTTAGTGTTAGGCATAGTTCACGCAAAACACAGCACTATTGTTATTATTATACTGACTGTTGCATAAAATGACAATATTTTCTCCATTTTCAATGTTTTATCACCTTTCACTTTCATGTTGTGACGCCCTTCGGGCGTTATAGAATTTGATCACATGTCCGACTTCATGTCACACTTAGTACCGAATGCAACTCTAAGTCATCCCTATTATGACATCATGTTGTGCTACATATATATGTCAATCCTCTCTTCTTTTATTTGAATATTCCAAGTATTAGATATAATGAACATATATAGTTTTGGAGAATTAAAGTTGAGTGAAGTGTATAAAATTGCAAGAAAAAATTTGAGAAAAATTATTGAAATAGATTTGTTAATTTTTCTTCTTTATTGGTAAAATATTTGAAACTAAGTTTATATATATATATATATATATATATATATATATATATATATATATATATATATATATATATATATATATATATATATATATATATATATATATATATATATTGTGCTCTTAAAGGTACTTGGACACAGATTTGAAGTTAATTTTTTTCTCCATAATATTACGAAGTATATATTTTAATACACACAAAAATTAATTAAAAATCTTATTTCATTTCATTTTCTAATAAAGGCCCTTCACAAAAATTAAACACGATCTTCAATTAATATATTTTCTAAAATTGTTTATTTCTGAATCAATATTTGATTTTTCAACTCGAATCTTCTAGGTTCAATCCTTCGTTACAAATGTTATAAAGTCTCGGATCGTAAAATATTTTAAATAATAAATACTTTAAAATAAATCGGAAATTCCAACAGCAGTTTTGAAATGCATGTTGGCTTTAGATAGGGCCTACATGGCTTTTAACTCAGCCAAACGTAAATCATTTTTATCTTTTATGACATTTGTGATGCCAGTCGACTTCACGACAAACACAATTTGTGTTTTGTAAAGGGGTAAACCAATAATTTTCAATTTAAATATACATCCTGGTAGTTGCTTCCGATTAGGCCTAATATTTTATGTTGAAAATATATTCTAAGCTTTATTCCGACGTCACTTAGGAGAAAATAAAGTGTCTCGGATGATCTCCCTTTGATTACATAGTGACCACGGAGACGAGGAGACGGGATCGGGAGATAAAACATGCATACATTGTATGCAAAATAAATAGATTTGGGTGAAATAGTACACTTGTTTTAAACATTCAACGTAATCAATGATAAGTTAAACCTAGATCAGCTGCGCGTAACTAAAAAGTCTTGGGTTAAGAATGAGGCGCGACAAGTCGACATTATTGCATCTTCATGCAATCATGCTTATAGAGACTCTGAGAGATTTTCGTACTTTTTTGTAACACAACACAAAATAACTTATAATAAATGGAACATTTACATTTAAAAACTTATTAAAACTTACAAAAACAATATAGAATCTTGTTTCTTTTCAATTAATGTGGGTAGGCCTAAACCCCGGCCATTATTTCCACTTTGATGGTCGATGCGAAGAGATTTGAATCAAACGAAAAGTATAAATTTCAATGTGGCCACACCTTTTGAACAAAATAAAATAACGCTCTATTTGTTCATTTTTTAATTTCCTTTTTAATAGTATAAATTTTATTTTGTTCAAAGGGTGTGGCCACAGCAAAAATTTGAACCAAAGACGAAAAAATTCTTTATTTTGATAAAAAGTGGCAAAGTGCAAATGTTTAGACGTTTTTGCACAAATATGACGTCATCAAATGAAAATTTTGGCGTAAACTATTCAAGTTTGATACCTAAGGATAATATTCCCATAAATATTTTTTTTCTTCCCCTCACTTTATTTCTCCTAAAATCGTTTAGGCCGACTTAGCTCTTTCTAACACCTTTTCTTAGGTAGCTTCCTACCTACAAATATCTTGTTAAATCATATAGAACAAAAGAAGTGTAGAATTTCAAGATCTTTCAAATGATGTATCGAAAAAAGGGCTGGCCCCTAAATATAGGGATCTAGAGGGGCCAGAAGTTTTTTCCTGATATCTTTAAAAGTATTTGTAATACGTCAAAGAAGCAAAGTTGTTTAAAATGTCATGTGTTATCTACTGGTGTCGTCAAAATGCGTCCGGAGACTAACTTCTTGTCAAACCGGAAGTAGTAAGAAAATGCATATTGTTGCCGGTATTGACATGTTTTTGGGTAATATTTGTCAATGGAAGCATAAAACATAATTTTCCGTCGGTCAACGTCACTTCCGGTCAAACCGGAAGTAGCAAAAATGGCTTATTTTTGCAATAATTAACATAGATTTGGTGGATTTAAACCATTTTGAACGTCATTGCTCATTTTTTTTAAAAATGAAAGTTACTTCCGGTCAATCAGGATGGAACAGGACGGAAGACCTTCTCGTTGCTTTGCAACGAGCTTTGCTCTAGTTAAATTTTTTTTTTTGGCAAAATTAACTATTTCTTGCACTATCTTGCAATATCAATTACAATTTAAAAGTTGTTTTTTTAAACATTATTTTGTAAATATTGTGTGTGTTAAAGCTTTTGAATTATTTCAACCAATTGAATGCTAAGCCTATGAAAAAAAATAAATTCAAAAAAATTCAAACCTTGCTATTTCTTCTACATTTTGTGAAATCTCTCTCTCTCTCTCTCTCTCTCTAAATTTGGAAACTGTTCATTTTCTTTATTTTTCATAATATACCTTGTATGTAAGTATTTCGTATAGTATGACGAAAATTGTGATTACACCAGTATAATCTTTGTTCTTGCAATATTTTCTGATGATTTTGGCGCAATTTAATTTGATATTTCTTGTGGTACATACGTCTTTCTGTATATTGTTATACCTCAAGGATATGTCTGTGGATGGAACAGATTATACGTTCGCAGTGCGTACAGGGGATTTCAATCTTACTTTTGGACAAACAAGTGACTGTGCTGGAGAAATAGGCTTTGTCTCAAAAACCTGCCCACGATTCTCCGGAGCTAAAATCAATGCTCAAGGGACTGGGATGATATTTGATCCTACTGTAAGTTTGTTTTCTTTTTAAAGAAATAATTAAGTCATATGTCCTTGAAAAAATAAAAATTATTCTTAGAGTGAAATAAAAAGATAACGAAAAAATTTCCAGCTTAATTGCCAATTAAAAAAGAACAAGTGGTGAGAAGAGCAAAAGCCGACCTCAAAAACACCAGAGGTTATATCAGGTGAGAAGAACAAAAGCCGACCTCAAAAACACCGGAGATAAGATCAGGTGTCACCGGCCGACTTCAAGAACACCAGTGGTAAGATCAGGTGTCATCGGCCGACTTCAAAAACACCAGAAGTAAGATCAGGTGAGAAGAACAAAAGCCGACCTCAAAAACAGCAGAGGTAAGATCAGGTGAGAAGAACAAAAGCCGACCTAAAAAACACCAGAAGTAAGATCAGGTGAGAAGAACAGAAGCCGACCTCAAAAACAGCAGAGGTAAGATCAGGTGAAAAGAACAAAAGCCGACCTAAAAAACAGCAGAGGTAAGATCAGGTGAAAAGAACAAAAGCCGACCTCAAAAAAACAGAGATAAGATCAGGTGTTATCTGCCGACTTTAAAAACACCAGAGATAAGATCAGGTGTCATCAGGCGACTTAAAAAACACCTGAGGTAAGATAATGGTGTCACCGGCCGACTTCAAAAACACCAGAGGTAAGATCAGGTGTCATCGACCGACTTCAAAAACACCAGAGGAAGATCAGGTGCCATTGGCCGACTTCAAAAACACCATAGGTAAGATCAAGTGCCATCGGCCGACTTCAAAAACACCAGAGGTAAGATTAAGTGAAAAGAACAAAAGCCGACCTCAAAAACAGCAGAGGTAAGATCAGGTGAAAAGAACAAAAGCCGACCTCAAAAACAGCAGAGGTAAGATTAAGTGAAAAGAACAAAAGCCGACCTCAAAAACACCAGAAGTAAGATCAGGTGAGAAGAACAGAAGCCGACCTCAAAAACAGCAGAGGTAAGATCAGGTGAGAAGAACAAAAGCCGACCTAAAAAAAACAGAGATAAGATCAGGTGAAAAGAACAAAAGCCGACCTAAAAAACAGCAGAGGTAAGATCAGGTGAAAAGAACAAAAGCCGACTTCAAAAACACCAGAAGTAAGATCAGGTGAGAAGAACAGAAGCCGACCTAAAAAACAGCAGAGGTAAGATCAGGTGAAAAGAACAAAAGCCGACCTAAAAAACAGCAGAGGTAAGATCAGGTGAAAAGAACAAAAGCCGACCTAAAAAACAGCAGAGGTAAGATCAGGTGAAAAGAACAAAAGCCGACCTAAAAAACAGCAGAGGTAAGATCAGGTGAAAAGAACAAAAGCCGACCTAAAAAAAACAGAGATAAGATCAGGTGTTATCGGGTAGTAATCATTCCATATAGATAGGTCAAACTGTGTGGTCCTTGTCTAAAGAAGAAAACGAAAAAAATCCGTAGATTTAGTAGATTATCATAATTCTTTTAAATTAAATCATAAACATTTAATACAACAGAAGTGAAAATTTCAGCAAGAAAAGTAGTAGACACTCGAACTTTTCAAGACAGGGCTTAAAATTTATAATTTTTTATGAACCTTATTAAATTTCATAAATCTCTGAACTTAAAAAGTTAAGTTCAGAAATAAGTTTGTGAGTTTAGCTCACACTTATCATACCGAGCCACAGCATGAGTGTAAAGGGAAATCATTGCTATAGGAAAGGCAAATATCCTACGAATTGTAATATAGGAGAGAAGGTGTTCAAAAGCACTATCATATAATCATAGATTTTATACAGTGTTAAAGGAAATGTTGTAGATTTGATGTAGACTTTTATACATGTAGTTTCAATGTCTAGAAAAATATTGCAGCGCCCATGTTTTGTTACAGGAAATCTCCAAATATTTGTCTGATAAAAGAGGCATTTTAAGGTAGTCCGATCCTCAGGTTTATAAAATTAGCAGTTAAGTTATCAAAAATACTCATAAAAGTATATCTTTATCCACAAAGTTATGTCAATTATCCACAGCATTTCTTTAAAGTGAAAGATTAAAGTTAAATATAATATATAGGGAAAATTGTCAAATCTCCAATATTTTTGCAGAAAAAGCGAATTGGATTACGAGCAATGCATTTCCTAATTTCAAATTGATCAACAAATATACTTTAGGTTAAATAATGATAGGTATCCAGGCATTCAGAGAAATTTTCTTGATTTTTATACATATTTGGTATTTCTTGTCTTCTATTTCCGTCATGTATTCTACGAGGGGTGATCAAAAAGTTTGCAAACTATCTCTATATCTACAAAACCACAATTCAGATCAGAATGAAATTCGGTACACACATAGCCATACACAAGGTCTATAAATAGTGTAACGTGCAACGCGGCCGAGCTTGGTGTGTGGTGATATGTCTTGTATCACCGAGGCGTTACACTCCGGTTCGTTAACCTGTTAACTCAGATTTTTGCTGACCAATTAAGAATATATATACAAATATAATACAATGGGTTTCTTCATGATCGGACAACCACTAACTGTGGTCAACGGGTTTCTCCCGCAATGAATTTCTATGGTACTGCCACACTAATTGTACTGCTGCATCTTGGCACTTCCCCCACTTCTGTGGTATGCCACCTTTCTCTCCATCAGCCTACTGTGTGCCTTATTCAGGTCTTATCACGAGTTCAAGAGAACAGACAGTCAAGCCGCAACAAGCTTGTCATCAGAGAGGTATTCTGAGATTCTGTAACACGGCATGTGCTACATCAGTGCAGTCCCAGTACATAGGCAGTTACAAACTACTTAAATGATTGTAAAATTAATATTTATAGTGTTTAGAAATATACGAAAATATATACGTTTTATATATATATATACAAAAACCAATTTCCGTTTCACTAGCATATGCTGAATAAAGTTTCTCTCCTCGTTTGTGACGTCACAATGTGAAAATGACGTCACTATTTAGGTCACTTGTGACGAAAAATGGTTGTCTCAGTCGAACTCGTTCAACAAACGACTGCATAATTTATTGTAATATCTTAGAAATCCTTCTACAGTATATATAATAATTTGTACACAATTTATTGAGATAAATGATTTCCTATAAATTCCATTAATGATTGGATTAATCGTTTTAGTGAAGGAAGGCTGATGGTTAAAAATGATTCTTGTCATCTTGCCCAGTGAAAGCAATTTTGAAAAGATATGTACTTTTAATTAAGCAATTGTTTTTATCAAAGACCTCCAATTAGCACTTTGAAAAATAGTTGAATATTTTAACAATGATATAAGTATTAAATACCTAAGATATAGTTTACTTTAGATTTTAAACATATTAGATATGATAAAAAGGATGCACCCATTCTCTATCCACCTTGAATAAAGGTCTCTCCTGAGACAGAAGATTTGTGTTTTCATGGTTGCCATGCTTATTTTTTGGAAAGGATGTTATTATCCAACCATTCTGTTGCCGAGATATGACCATTTCTGACAAATGAACTGTTCTTGTCATAAAAATTAACTCACATGAAATAAATATAAAACTCGGAAAAATCTTTTAACTGTTTGTGACAGAACGCTACGGAGAAGGCCACGCCAATATCACGTGATTCGCGTATGCGCAGAACGGTTGTTAATGTGCATTAAAATCGGGGAGGATTAATTTAAAATATAATCAACATTAAAACCAAATATTGTTTCTTGTATGGAGGTTATTCAATTAGTTTGCGAACTTTTTGATCACCCCTCGTATAATACCTTGTGTAAAAGGCTTTTTCTATCATTGCAAGACCCCACAAATCACTTCTTATTTCATGTCATGCTAATAAGCATTGGTATCTAAAGCTGGGTTCAAGAAAATCTTATTTCTCTAAATCTGTAAGAATTTTTTTCCCTTTTATAGGATACAAATGTCAACTTTTATAAGACCATTTCTAAAACTTTTAAAACCCTTAAATCTTATAAAGATGAATAAAATGATTGTTGCATGAAAAAAAAAATCATTTACAATCTTCATTTTGATGCATTTCAATTTAAATTTTAATTTTTGGAGTAATCCTTCCTGGCTGAGGATCAGATATCCTTAATGTCACTTATTTTACAAGATTTTGTATAAGTACTAGTAACATTAAATTTTGTTTTAATACTTTGATCACTATGAGGAAAATAAATATTTTTTTTATATTCAGTGGTATAATTGGGTTGGGAATAAGTAATGTTGAAAAATGACTTTGTCAATATGTTTTGCAACAGAAAACATATGTACTGTATATATCCGATAGAAACACAAAGTAAAGGTAACATAATGACACTATGTAATTAAAATGCGCGAAATCTCATCAATTGTTATCTAGTTTTAAAGAAAATTCAAATAAGAATTTGTTACTTTTAATAGTTACAAAAGACCTACGGTTCAATACCCAAATCCATTATATCCCCGTTATAAAAGAGGTGTATGACAATAATTAGAAAAAAACTCAATTTATTTTCAGATTGTATTCGGTATAGTGGAGGGCTATATGGCTAGTATACTGGATTTTCAGCGTTCAGCAGACGGAGCAGAAATGTACTTCCGGTGTGGAGGATGGTGTGGAATATGCGGTCCAGTTGAAGGAGAAATGAAATTTATTTTGACAACGGAAGCGGGTGAGACAACTTAACTCTTGGTTTGTTTTATGTATTTGTCTCCGTCGAAATTTGGGAACTTGATACATATATATTTTGTAGATTTTTATTCATCTCTGTGAAAAAAAAATAATTCACGATATATAAAATTTCAGGGGAAAGAGACAAATAACATCTCAAACTTATGTAACTACGAGGCCATACCTTAATAAACTATATATTGTTTCCTCTACATAACAACAAAATTTTGACTTTACTTAAATATTCAGTTTGGGTACGATTTGATGCCAGCACATCCTTAATTTGTTTCTAACAAGACCATTTATATATAGCACATTCACATGTACTTGCAGTTCCAGTTTCAGAAGCACAGTCGGTGGTTTGCCCAGTCAAATGAACTCCATGGTTCCATAAATCATCCTCATCATAACGACAATGGCATATGTCCTCTGGTACAGGAATTTGGAACAACTGAGTTATACAATAATTTGAAATTGATTTTTTTTTTTGCATTTATAGTATGATTTTTTTAAATTATCATTTTGGAAGAGAGTACGAAAAGGAAACATACATTGACTATGTTTTCCTTGTATTTAAATGACTGATATATTATGTATATTACTAAGAAAAATATAAATAATGTACTACAGTACATTACTCCTTTTTTCTGATACTAATGTATGATTATATTTGAAATAAAAACCATCAATAAACAAAAGTTCAACTACAATAAAAATTTCTCTACAGCACGATTAAACACAAGATTTTAAAGATTTTGAATAAAATAGTTTATATAGAGGTTATTGTTGTAACACAAAATATCCACAGCCGTGTTTAATTTCTTCGATATCTACAGCCGAGTATTAGTGCTTTAATTAAATAAGACAAGCAAGTGGTTATAGGGCATACTTATCCCTAAGCTTATCTTAAGAAATGTGTATTATATTGAGAATAATACATACCCTTTTCCATATCACATCCTGTATCAGCCCGAGACACCAATATCAGCCAGAGGGCCGAAGGCCCGAGGGCTGATATTGGTCGAGGGCTGATACAGGATGTGATGTGGAAAAGGGTATGTTTTTTTAAATTTACTACATACTTAGTAATAAAACACATTAAGTTGAGAAGAAAATAAGTAAATAATCATGCATGGACTTCTTACATACATGTACATGGTCTATTGTATCATACGATTTGGGTTTGTTTCTACTTCTATTTCTATGCACTTGATCTGTAATTTGAAAATAATCTATTTGTATTTGTAAATTAAGAATAATCTTATTTTCAAAAAGTTAAAATTAAGAGAATATGAACCCACCAAACATCGTGCATAATCACAAGTACTGTTTTTGTGGTTTAATTTTCTAAGGTGTGTGATATTGACGTCACAATAGCCGTATCAGCCCTGCAGGGCTGATATGGATTTGCAGGACTGATGTAGGTTATCAGCCCCGCAAATCCATATCAGCCCTGCAGGGCTGATACGGCTATTGTGACGTCAGCCATATCGCATATGCAAAAAAACTGTTTTTATTACTAAGTTTGTAATAAATATAAAAAATAAATTAGAGAAGCAAGTGTTTATAAAGCATACTTATCCCTAAGCTTGTCTTAGGAAACGTGTATTATAAATAAAAAATGAATTAGACAAGCAAGTGTTTATAGGGCATAATAATCCCTAGGCCTGTCTAAGGAATCTGTAGATGCCTTATTATAAATAATATTTATGTTGTATACTTTTATTTGTTATACCCTTATAAATATCATTCTATATATTTATTATTTATAAAAAGTCCAACAAAAGAACTGTTTATTACATCGGTCTAACAATTTCACTATTGACCGGTCCTACATAAGAATTGTTAGACCGCAACGTCACTCGTCTGTTACGTCACAAGTAAGTAATCATCGTTCAATATCGGCGACGCGAAAATAGCCGAAGTTAAGAGCTACAAGAGTTGTTGCTAACAGCAAGGTTAGGAAGAAGGGACGAGTATGTTTTGTGATAAATAATTTTTGTGATACAATTGATATATAATTGATTTTGTTCTTTCTCAGCTTGATGTTTTATACTTACTGAAGAAGCCATAATTTTCCAAATAAAATAATTGATAATATAGCGTGTATTGATAAAATTGATCAATCTTAAGTGAGCAGTGAAGGGTATAACAAAACTGTTATAGACTGGGATTCGGGCAACATACGATTTGTTGGACCTGAAGGTGAAAATGTTGCCCTTGGCCTGCGGTCTCGGGCAACATTTTCACCTTCAGGTCCAACTAATTATATGTTGCCCTCATACCCAGTCAATAACTGTATAATGTTATTATTAATATTGTGTGTTTTTCTTGAATCAGTTTATAGGTCAATACTGTACATTGTAAAGTAAAACATAAGATCATTAATGTAGTCGGTCAAATTGGGGAACATTGCAAAATGACTTTCTTGCATAATTCTTGGAGGAGTTTAAACACTTACCAAGGAAACAGGAGTAGAACAGATGGGCGTTTATGGGTGAGAATAATAAATTTCAACTAGTAAGAGACAACCCCGAAGTGTTCAGTACAAACATTGGAGTGGACATGGAGATTGACTCTCCACATGCTCGTTTATGGGCGAGAATAATTAATTTCAACTAGTAAGAGACAACCCCGAAGTATTAAGTACAAACATTGGAGTGGACATGGAAATTAACTCTCCATCTGCTGCAAAGGGAAATGGCAAATATACAAAACTATTTTTGGCTTTCTTCAGACAAATATTCGGAACAGTAAACAAAAATCTCCGGTATAAAAGGGAGGACCCGGGAGAGCCCAGAGAGACGGCCACTGAAGTACCACAAGAGTCACCAGACCCCGTAATTCCTCCCCTGAACTGGACTGGACACTTGGGATAAGTTAACGCAATTCCGAATTTTAACTTTGAAAAGACTTTAATTTTAATTCCGAACTGTTAACTTTGTAAATACTTTGATTTTTATTCTTCGAACGTTATTTAAAAAACTATACGATCACTGTTGTTTTTGATGACTACATGTAAATGTTACTTAATAAAATTTGGTAGAGAGTTAAATCATCTTGTCTTGATTCTAGCTCTGCTCCGTTACATTATCCATACCTGATCTTTTAGTTTTCCTATTTTTCCTTTTTAATAAATACATGTGTAACAGTACTCTAAATAGTCATGGTCAATCAAATGATGATTAACATTGTTTGTCACATCAAAGTCACCAAGTATGTCAGAGTTGGATGTTGACTTTCTTTTCTTGGTAGGAACCTCTGCAGATCTTTCCTTTGGTGGCTATCTTTCCATTGTAACTTTTTCCTTGTGTCCCAAATTGATTGTTGGGTATGGATTACCAGGTATGGGTTCCTCATCCAAAAAATGAGTGGAGAAAATTCTAGAGTCATTATTTGGTCTCCAAATTTCACCACTTTGATTTTGACGATTTATATTCCGAATCCATATACTCCTAATGTATTTGTCTTTGGATTCCATCGGAAACGTGATTAATTTAAAGGGGGGATCACAAATGCATCTTCCAGTTCCAAAATTACAATGAAGGATATTGAGATAACTAACAGTATTCAATATCAAAGTCCATAAAACAATACAAAATAGGAGAAGAGCAAACACGGACCTCCAAAACATCAGATGTGGAATCAGGTGCCATGGAGGAGTAAGCATTCCCTGCTGACCGGTCACACCGGTCGTGTGCTCATTGTCATGATCGTGAAATAACGGGAAAATCTGTCGTCAATTCATTGAATAAATAATGGACAAACAATTGTTATGAAAAATGTCAGTCAGCATTTGACTCAATGATTAACTGTATTTGCTGACAAGATCATTGTATCGATCAAAGAACTTACGAAATGATGACTTTAAACTAGACTGCTGATATTCTTGTTTCATCAACTTGCTTGTCAAAAAATTAACCTCGTGTCCATACGTAGAGCATGCTCTTGCATAACTAATCAAATGAGATATATACATTCCGTATGCAGGTGATGAAGCTATATTGCTGCATAAGTAAGGGAAGTTGACGATAGAAAAGTTAAAGTCGTCACGTTTATCATATAACTTGGTTGTTGATTACCATTAACGTCTTTTTCAAGTAAAATATCAAATTATGAAACAGATGTGTCAGACTCTGTGGTATCTTTTATCTCAAGCTCTCCTGGATATATCGTATCGATGTAGGAATGGAAATTACCATTGTTAATTGATAATACGTCGTCGATATATCTGAAGGTTAAGTTGAAGGCAACAGCAAGTGTTCTCTTCTTTTCACTAATAAGATGCTGCATAAATTCTGCTTCATATGAATACAAAAAATAGGACTGCTAATAACGGAGTACAATTGGTTCCCATGGGAATTCCAATAGATTGTTAGAAGAACTGGTCTCCAAAAACCACAGAGATATTGTTAATCAGAAACTCAAGCATCTTTTTGATGTCAACTTCAGGGTACTTGTGTGTACAATCAGAATATTTCTTAACAAAATAAGTCTGCAATTGACGAATGACCAGGTAAGTTAATTTACGAGTTCCATTTTTATTGAAGAAGCAGCTGTCAATGTAATAAAAAAGCCTGGATTTTAATTTATCGTGGGGAATGGTCGTGTACAAAGTTGAAAATCGTAACTTTTTAAGCTGTTGATTTTGGTAAATTTTAGTGAACTCATATTGTCCAAAGTTCTTTGGAATTTTTCAGTATCCACATCTTATTCACACCACTTCTTGAATATATAGTTGCACTTTACTTTTGAAAGTCTTTCCTTCACTACTGTCAATATCTTAGTGAGGAGTAACGAAAGAGGCGTGGTTGAATATTTCCTGGAACCCGCAATGTATCTTTGTTTGTAAGGATTCTTATGAAGTTTCGGAATCCAATATATATAAACATGATAAATGATGAAGTTTACAAAGTTCAGATTTCCGATTCTTCAAATTATTATCCCCATTGCCACATCCACTGACACAACAATATCTCCCAGGCATATGCAGTAAGAATTTTAATGTCGAACTG